TGCCCCGGGGCAGAGCCCGAGCGCGCCGGGCAGCGGCCCCGCCTGGTGCCCTGCTGGCCCCCGCTCGCAGCCGGGCGGACACCTGCACGTACCTAGCTCGGGCAGGCTCCGCTCCCGCTCCCGCGCACACGCTGCCTTCAGAGTGACTGGAGCAAGCAGACACAACCCCCTCCCCTTCTGCAGGCAGATGCGAAGAAAACACTCACGGGGGCGGGAGCCCTCCCCCCCCCTCTTAATGGCCCCTTCCACGTTGATTAAAAAAGAAAAAGTCCTAGATTTGTTGTTGTTGGGGGGGGCGGGGTCCTCGCGAGTCCTAGGACTCACTTCAGCCCCCGTTATTTTCTTCGTGGCTGGTTTGCCCCAAGTAGCATCCGCAGGGCGGGTTCAGATGGCTTCTTGTCACACGGGCGAGGTGTAGACGGCTCCCAGGTTTCTCTTAGAGCACCTTAATAAAAGTTTTGTTATTTTGTTTTGGTTTCAACTAACCTTTGGATACATTGGTCTGGATTGGAAATCCCCCCCGCCCAGAAATAAATAAAACAAATCAGTGTTACTGGTTGTAAACAAAACTGTAGAGTAAGCACTCTTAGAAGTGGATTTTGCATTGCTCTCCAAGTTAGCCCTCTTACAGTTGTTGCTACTTACATCGTAACTTGCTAAAGCAATTGCACAATTGTTTTGTTTCTTCACAAAATAATTTGCTGGTTGGAGCCATCCCGCTTCTTGCTGTAGCATGGGACACTGTACTCGCTACAGTCACTTGCGCTCATTTGAATTGCAACCATGGTTTAGGACTGTTACTACTTCATGCATTATTTATGTGTGATTTTTTTTTCAATCTTGAAAGTCCATCCAAATTACATGACTAATTTATTGGGAAAGCTTACATGGGAAATCAACAAAATATTCTATGCCTTGAGGAATACACAAATGAATACAGACAGGAATATGAAACTCTGCACTCCTTGGGGCAAGTTATGGAAAATACATTTTTAAAGAAACTTCTTTTATTTCTACAGGATAAAACCTAATCCTTTTGTATGTGTGTTGTTTTTCTTCCTCCTCTCACCACAATTCAGTAGCTACGGACTGACTACTTCAAGATGTCTTATTTGGGATAAAATTAAGACAACATTTGTAAAATGTTTATCATTAAGTCAAAGTCTGTACTTACAAAAATTGTTCCCTAGTGCCCTCTAGTCTTTAAAATACTAATGAAAAACTGCTTAACCAACCATTCCCACAAGGGAGAACATTTTACCAATAAAACATAAAATATGATGAATATGGCATGATTATATTAAGACCACCATGCTGTTTTATGAAGCAATAATCCTCATTCCTAAGAGGATAAACTACAAGGCCAAAGACCAAGTAGTTTATTTTAATAAGGAACTTGGATTACTGATTTAGAAAAAAAGGTCACACTATTAACATGTTGAAAGTCTTTTAAAGTTTACCTGTTACTATATTTCTCATTATTTGATTATTAATGATTTTGTTAGTCACATAAAGCAATTTCCTTAGTGTTCCAGTCTGACTGAAGCAGTGTTACAGTTGTGTAATCTCAGCAGAATACACAACAAATTACAATACATTTGTATTTGTTACCTAAGCAGTATTAGATCCAGTCTCCAAAGGTGAAAGGCCAATGCATTAACACTCAGTGCCTTGAAACTACCAATTAAAAGACAACGTTTTTCAAAATTCATATTTATCCCTGAAATAGGTTTACAAAAAAGGTGGACAAAAAGGCAAAGGGACTACGGAGTTCAATGATCCATCACTAACAGGCTGACAACGTAGTGAATGGTTGTATAGACTGAAATGCATCAAGATCTTTCATTTTATTATTCACAATAAATTTTAAGAAATGTTTTAAAAGTAGGGGTGCACAGATAGAGATTTTTGGGGCTGATACCAATAGCCAATTTTTATGGAGGCATATCAGTTGATACCAATCCAATTTCCGACACGCAGCCTGGCAGCTTGAAGAGCGCTGTCCGGCTGATAAGTCTGTTGTGGTGGAAGGAGAGGGGGAGGGCAGGGAGTGGAGCTGGGGCTGCCCAGCCAGGGCGGGGCACAGGATGGAGTCGCAGCTCATCCAGGGGCCATGGGGCAGGGAGGGGAGAGTCCCACCACTGTGAACACCCCAGGAGGGCATGGGGGGTGGGGTGCCTCTGGATCTGTGCGCAGGGTGGGGTGAAGCAGGATGCCACTGCGGCTGGGGCCAGGGCTGCACTCAGGGTGGGCAGTGGTGGCACTAGAAGGAGGCTATGGGGATGGGGCTGCAGCCAGCACAAAATTCACCGTAACCCCGCCATAGCTCCCTTCCCAGCACTGCCACCGCCCACCCCAAGCACAGCCTGGCACAGCCCACTCTGGGAAGAGCCCACAGCAGCTCCAGTCCCAGCCTGCAGTAGTAGCCTACCCTCACCCCATGTAGATCCAGCGGTCACATGCCCCCCATACGCCTCCAGGGTGCGCGCAGCAGCAGGAGCCGTCCCCCTCTCCCCACACCCTCTGAATGAGCCATCGCTCTGCCCTGTGCCCTGCCCCATCCCAGCTGGGTAGTACCTGCCCCTGCCCTAGCCCCACTTCCTCTCTCACTGCAGGGGCCTTGATCTGCCCCGCCCCATACTTCTTCCACCACAACAGACTTACCAGCTGAACACAGCTCTCCAGGCTTTCAGGCTGTGCTCCTCACCACCTACTTGCTGCGCTGTGGCTGCGTGAATGCATGGGGCATTTATCGGCCACATTATTGGCCACATCAGGCTGATTTCTGATACAGTCAATTTTCTTTATATTGGTGCCGATCTGATATCAGACTGATGTATCAGCTCTATATAAAAGTATATATGCTAGGAATATAACTACAAAGAACATATAACAGTTATGTAAAGAAGTTACTATGGAACGACTCTGCTGAAAAAAGAGGTAATTAAATAGATATACATACCTGTACATATTATAAAGATAAGAACCTGGCCTCATTGCAATCATCCAGAAAACTCATATCAACTTTGACAGGATTTTACTCCAAGTCATAGGAAAAAAGTGCAGTGGTATTATTTATGGAAGCCAACAAGCACAAACACTGCATATTTTAGTTTCCATTTGTATCAAATTAATCTCTTAAAATGAATCGGGTTTTAGGGGAAGAGTTGGTTAAATGGTCCCTTTACATGTCATCCCCACTGCTTCTCTGCAGAAATTACTGTGGACTTTCCCCATAGACGTCTCCATCATGTTGGCCACACTGTTTTGGTACTCCAGCCTGGATCAAAGCTCCACAGTACTAGACACTGTCCAAACATATAGTAACAATTCTCTTTCCCTAAACAGCTTACTCTGTAACTTGGCAATGTATGTGGAGCAGGAAGGGGTAAAATCATTCAGCTTATAATAAATACAACATTTATTTTGTACTTTCTGCTTACACCCTGGAGAAACTGCCGTGGTTACAGGTTTGGGTAAGATGACCATAAGGAAATCCGATATATCTGGGACACTGTCGTCCCTCCCAACCCCACAAGTCAGCGGTGCTGCAGCAGGCAGTGGCAGAAGTTGGCAGGCAGGGGTGTAAGCGCAGTTCATCAGGAAGGTGGAGCTGCCTGGCGCACTGCCACTCCTCCTCTCTGCTGGACTGCACCCTGTGCCCCTGAAATTCAGGGACTCTCATTTTAATTTTTGCCAACCAGCCGGGACTGGCCTTTGAAATCTGAGACTGTCTCCAGTAAACTGGGACATGTGGTCATCCTAGGTTTGGGGGAACCAATGGAAACATGCTTCCTAGAGTGGTTGTCCTGCCAGGGAAGTGTAGAAAAAAAGAGACTGACAGCACAAAAAGATAGTTGTATCACAAAGTCAAAATATAGGAGGAATTTGATAGGGTTGTCCCTATGACCAAGTCATTCCATAGGGAGACAAACACTACACCTAAACAAAGGACACCTCAAAAATGCTGCAACTTTAAAGTCATGGGCTCTTTTCTTGTTTTCTATTGAGTTTCCATGGTTTTGTCATCAGTTAAAAACAAATTTCCAGGAAGGAGCACTCCAGATAGACTGGGGTCTCCAAGCCTTCCCAGCAGAGGCCTTGTGTGTATGTTGTTAAAAGCTTAAAGTTATTACACCATGGCTCAGAGCTGGGTAAAGGCAACAGCACACTCAGCCCTACACTACAAATATGAGTTCTCTACATTTCTTGCTAGTCTCCAAACCCTTCCGTTTTAATTATGACTAAATTCAGCCTTTCCATTCTGGTCTCTCCTATTGAGTCTCCCTGTCTTTTCACTCCTCTTCCACTTTGTCCTCCAAGATTTGGCTGCTGTCTCTGTCATGACTCTTCTCCTTATTCATGTTCTTGTCATCTCTCACGTTGGAATGTAAAGATAGCCCTGGTACCCACAACGTGGCCAAGCTGAGGGGTAACAGATTTGGGTAAAGAAGGTGTTTCCTCCTTCCATTTCTTCTATCAGTTCTTGAGCCCAGAGTAACTGAGGAAATAACCTGGTTTGCCCAGCTGACCGTTTGGATAGATGGACCATTTTGTTTTAGCCAGCCCATTGGCCATAATGTCACCATCCAGAACAGAACTAGAAAACCTAGGATAGTTCTTAATAAACAAGTTTATTGTCAAGCATACAATTAAATCTAAATGAAAAAAGTTTAAATACTTTTCTTCTTTGCACTGTAAATTTGATCTGTTAACAAGTTTATTAATCTAATGATTTTTTTTGTTTGCACCAGCTTTACTGATAAGAAAAGTGTGACCAAATACTTGGAAACAAACATATTTTATAAAAGTTTTGTCAATTTTATTTCATTGCTGTCAAAAATTCAGATATTTATAAATATTTTCACAGTTGACAACCCAGAGATTGTAAACTCAAGGCCACAGCAAAACTGCTAATAGTGTGGCCTGTTAGATTTTAATGAATCAGCAAATTCTGCTAAATATCTTGTTGCAAGGACACAAAGAAGAAAGAACCACAATACTGAAATCTGAAAAACATCAATGTGTCATGGTAAGGCATTTCTAATACATTTATTTTTGCATTTATTATGTAGAGGCAATAAGACTGTGTATGGACTGGATTTCCTTAATGGAGATCACTGGGAATTTTGTCTTAGTAAGAAATGTAGGATTGGGCCTCATAAACCCTGACTACAACAGTTAA